TCTCTGGGCCCTGCCAGGCTCCTAGAGCCTGTGTAAGGCCCGGGCATCCCAGCAAGGCAGTCTGAAGGGCTCTCACACAGACCCCCGTGCCAGGCCCTGCTGGCCGTATTCTCAGAGCTGCCCAGGGAAGGTTTGTGGAAGAAGGAGGTATCGTGTCTGATTCAGGAGACGGCATCTTACCTGCTTCTTCGTGTCCCGCACACCAGCCAGAAGGGAGCTGCAGCTCTCTGGCGTGCCTGAGCATAGGCCCCGGAGAACACAGGCTTTGGCTCATGCTTGTCCATGTGCCTGGAATGTCCCTCTTTTGTAGCTTCCCGGCCATGTTCTAACACCAACCTTCGTGGTCCTGTAGGTGAGTGTCCCGCAGAGCCCAGTTCTGTTCCCCGTCAAGGGCACAGAGGCCCCAGCACCAGAGCCTGCTGAGGGGAGTGGCCCTGACTGCAGCTCCTGGCTCTGGGGCTGGGCCACACCCCGCAGCGCTGACAGGCCGTCACAGCTGTGGAGGGCCACACAGTGACTCTGCTCCAACAGGCTGGACTTGAAGCTCCGCCACTCCCCGAGCAGGCCTTCTCCCCACTCACCCCACCAGGTCTTCATTGCGAGATTACCAGGGAGATCCCCTGGTTGATCAGCACGACACCTCCATCCCTTTCTCTCTGCAGCCCAGAAGCACTTCCTGGGGTTTGGAGGAGGGGCTAGCTCCACTCCAACCGTGTTTGTATTGTCACAGTGCAGAGCGGTCACCCACTTTTTCCCTCCCAGATGCTCCAGAAAACTTGGATGAGCAGAGTAAGAAAGTTGCCCAGCAGGTCCTCGAGAAGCGAGCCTACGTCTGTGCCCACCCTCTGGACAGGACGACCTGAGCAGGGGACAGTGCTCCCTACAACCACCTGCCGCAGGCATTGGATAACTGACTCTTCAGAAGATGGAGAACTCGGGGTTCTTGCAAGTTCCCAGATTACCACCAGAGGTCTTTCTCCTCCCTGAGGGAACCTCTAGGTTTGGACCTTCAGGCCCTGCTGTCTGAGTGCTCACAGCTGCTGAATGGAGAAGACACGGAGCTGCTGAGGAAACACCAGTGCGGGCAGCTCGAGCTGGGGCCCCCATGGCGTGCCCGGCAGGGAGAGCTGCTTCTACCACCCCACACCTTCTCTAGGGAACAGCTGGGGCCCCCATGGCGTGCCCGGCAGGGAGAGCTGCTTCTACCAGCCCACACCTTCTCTAAGAAACAGCTGGGGCCCCCATGGTGTGCCCGGCAGGGAGAGTTGTTTCTACCAGACCACACCTTCTCTAAGAAACAGCTCGAAGTGCCGTGTACAGGTCTGTCATTTAAACAAGACACAAAACTCATAAGACCTGTACCAGGACCCATTGAATGAAGAAGAATGCAGATGTCATGGTGTGCGTGCACTTCTGGCCTTGGCTGGGCCTCTCGCAGTGTGACCCCCAGAACTACTCCTTGTGATGGCTTCCAACCCCTTGTCCTCACCCTGGCACGTGCCCATTCCAGGGCCACAGAATCTTAGGGGTTATTGTGGATCCTTCTTGGGTGATGCCTGGTATAAAATAGCATATACTTGATCCCACCTAGGACTTTTCTTTTTATTTATTTAATTCATCTGTTGTTGTTTTTGTTAGCGTTCACTACAGAGAGGGAAAAATCACCCCTTGGGAGAAATGTCAACACCACAATTCCTTCTTCATTCTCTTAGGATTTTGGACACACATACACATACTCCTGGAGTGATTTCCAAGATGCCAGGTCAGGACTCGAACTGCACAGTTGGCCATGTGGGATCCAGAGCCTTAACCTCCACACCACCTGCTGGCCTTCCTTTTGATTCTTTGCAAGGATTGACCTCCATACTCACGAGGACACTGTTCTGGAGGCTGTGCTAATGGGCCCTTATGTTCCTCAGGCCATTTCTGCAGTCTTCTGTAAAACTCGCTGGGTCCCTGCCTCTTCCTTCAGGCAGTCTTCAAGTTTTAGACTAGTCCTTGAGTTTGCTGTCCCAAAAAGCCCTATCACAGACATTCATTTGAGTAGAGAGGAGGCCACAATTTTCCCTTCATGTACAAATCATATATGAAAATAGGCAGAGAGGAGGCAGGGTGGGAACTACCTCCTCAGGCTGCCCCTGAGCTGGCATGGTGGGCTGGCCTGAGCATCCTGCCAGCATTTTGGTAATGGAGTCATAAATTCTATGAGTGGACGCAGCCTTCCAGTGAAACCAGAGTTCTCCTTTGTTGGGTAAGTAATGAAGGGAAGGGGGCATTTCCCACAAAATGTAGAGTATGCTCTGTACAGTAGCAGGCTGCAAGGGCTCCTCTGCACCGTAGAAGTTTGACAAGGATTGCTGGGCCCTACCTCCTAGGCAGCTCCCTGAAAGAGGGCCTCACTGAAAGCTTGGGACATGGGAGGTCCCCACTAGCAGCCAGCACTCCTCATCCAGCTTGGTTTGAGGTCCCAGCATGTGTCTCCCCTCTGAGCAGTGAGGTGTTCTGGGATCTGTGACTAGGAAGCCTTGCTGAGGAGGCAGCCTTGCACTCCTGGCTCCCAGCAGGGGCTTCCTTAAGAGCCACACAGCAGCTGCAAGTTTCCAGGGACCCAGATGCCAGGGGCAGGGGGGAGCGCAGTCAAGGCGAGCAGAGGGTGCCTCAGCAGGTTATTGGCACCCTACCTGGTCAGTGTAGCTGCTGCCAGCTGTCCTTGGATTGGGCAAAGAAATAGACTCAGCTTGTTTATCTGATTGAGCTTTTCTGGAAAGTTTTTTCTAGAATCCCGTCAGCAGATAAACTTGTTCTCTCACTGAACAAAGATCTGGCTTGAGTAACTGACAAACTTGAGTTCTATATCAACCTATAAATGATCTTGAGGTGTCTCCATAAATAGATGTAGAGAAGACGCAGAGGGACTTGGTGAAGCCCCACAGGAGAAAGGCATCTTGGAGCTGGAAAGGAACTGTAAGGTCCCAGTGACACCCAGAGCCTCTGCCCCAGCTGTGGGCGAGGTGTCCAGGCTTAGGACTCCCCCATTGTATAACAGAAAAACCCAGCCCAGAGCAGCTAAAGGATTTGCCTAAAGTCATACAACTAATGTCTCCCATGGAACTAGAACCCAGCTCCCCGCATCTCAGCCTGCCATTGTCTACACCAGACACATTCCGAACTTTGATTTCCTAGTATGGGAAGGTTAGATGGGTAACTGAAGCAGGATGAATAATGTGACAGTTGCACACAGCTCCTGCGTACCTGAGCGTCAGGAGGCTCGGTTTGGCCAAGGTCTCCTCTCACCTGATACAGGCTTCAGTACTGGAGAAGGGGGCAGCGTGAAGAACGGAGGCCACTTGTATAGGTTGAAGTCCAGGTGGCATCGGTCCCAGCTCCACCTGCCTCGATCCAGCGCTGACTCCAGCATGTTAGCAAGCAGTGTGCTTTCCTTCCACTCCTAAACCGGGAGCAGATCAGTTAGAGCCGTCCCTGTGGACACCCCACTGCAGCCCTGCTCCTCTCACTGGACCTCATTCAGCCCTTGATGGCCTGAGGGAACCGAGGTCCTGGTGGTTGCTCCTGATGCTCTAAAGACCCAGCGCTTGGAACCCGCTGGCTGTGAGCCAGGCCTGGCGGGATTTCTTCTGGGCATCAAGTCCTGAGGTGCCACCATGGTGGAGAGGTAGTTCTGTAAGTACACGAATCTCCTTCTGGGCTCTTAGAGGCGAGAGGACAGATACCTGCATGGAAAGTTCTGGATAGGGTTCTCGTATGTTCCAGAAACAGCAGGGACCTGAGAGTGTGCCTCTGGGCTACCTGCACTGTGCCACCCAACACAAGGATCGCAAGAAGTCAGTCCCTGTAGTTAGTATGTGCTAGAACCCTGACCCAGGGTTTCCTCTGGTGGCAGCTGTCCCCCATTAAGTTGTATAACAGAACAGCAACAAAGTGCCCCTGGAAGAAAGACCCTGCCATTGCTGTCAGCTGCAGATGCCTGAGCATACTCTGGAAACACTGGTTCACACTGAGCGAGGAGCAGAGCACTTCGTCAGCAGCGACCCCTGGTCTGGCTTTCCTCTGCACACGTGAGATCCCTTGCTGACCTGAGGCAGGAGTGATGAGGCAGGACAGAGGCCACACTTGGACTAGCCAAGGACCGTTATCCCACATGGGCCTCTCACCTTGGCCATCTCTCGATACGGCTCCTCCTCGCCAAGCACTGTGAGATTCAGGTCTGAATACTGCTGGAGGCAGCCTTGCTGGCAGGGACTGGGGTTCTTAGAACCTTCATCATGGACTTTGGAGGCTTCTTGGTGACATGGGCTTCTGTGATGTTTTTCTGAAGAAAGATCTCATTCACTGCCTGTAGTACCATGTCCCCCTCACCACCTGTCAGTTCATATGTGGGGAGGTGGTCTTTGGGCCATAATTATGGTACAGGTATTGAACGATTCTTGAGTATTTAAAATTAATTCTTGAATACTTGACATTTTGGCCAAAAGAGTTATATTTGGCTGATGCTGTTTACTTATCATGAAACCATAACAAAGGGCTACCTAGTCCAACCTTTTACCATCCAAAATGGAATTCAGAGAACCAGAAACTTGAGGTGATCTGATGTCACTGTACCTGGAACACAGACCACCTGACCACTGCTCTATCCAGCTGGGGATATAGAGGATCAGAAGTGAAAGGCATTTCTGGCATGGACAGAGTATATTATGGCCTAACACAGCAGGGGCTATGTCCTTACCGAGCTTCATTGAGTGGCGGGGGGGGGGGGGTATGACCCTTTCTCTCCAAGAGGCCTGGTGTGGAAATGGAGCTACTCCATAGGCAGAGAGAAAGAAGAGTGTCAGCTTCCTTGGTGCCTAGTAATTATTTATTTTTTTAAATTATTTTTTATTATTTTAACATTTATTTATCTATTTATTTATTTGTTTATGTAAATTTGACCAGAGAGGGACAGAGAGAGAGAGAAAGTGAAAAAGCAAGCCACCAGGTCCGGGACTCGAACCACAGTCAGCCACATGGGATTCCAGTGCCCTTAACCACCGTGCTACCTGCTTGCCCTTGGCGCCTTATTATTTAGTGCATAAGTATTTCATATGAAGCAGATAGGTGGAATCCAGAAAGTTTTTGAAAAAAAATTCGATTTTTTGTAGTGTTTTTCAGGGGTTCTAGAAGCTTAGGTACTTGTTCGAGTCTTTTCCATGGGAAGCAGTCTTGAAACGCTGAATGACAAAACTGAAAACAGTGAGAACAAAGTATACAGATAGACAGTTGTTCTTACTGTATATAGCATTTAAAGATAATCATTTAATTTGTGACTAAGGCATTGCAGTAGTACAATTAGCTTTATTTATTATCTGCTATTTGTTACTATTATTTATTACTTATATTTATTATTTATTGCTAATACTATTATTATTTTAATAGCTTGGGGAATTTGATACCTATGGAAAGGTCATTAAGGTTGTAGCTTTGTATGTAGGACTTTACATATTTACCAGAATACTAAAACTCTCAGCAATTTTGGCTTTTAGTACCTATCAGCAGCTTATGAATATGTGGTTTATAGGCAGAAATTGTTAAATAAGTTTTTTCAGTGTCCTGATAAGGTCTAACACAATCAGCCACTGTCTCCTGTTTTTTGGATGGGATAACAGCTGCTCTGCAAAAGGGTTAGCATTTCCAGCGGCCAGTTATGACCACACAATTTGTCTGTGTCCTGGTTAGATAGAGTATAGCCGTAAAATGGCTTGTGTCAAGCAGGAGGTAAAATTTGATATAACTCACTTAGGTCCCTGTCATACACTGATCAATCTGCCTGTCCCTAGATCCTGACCGAGAAGCCTGTTCCAGCATCTCAAGCATATAATGTTAACCTGCTGACATGCCTGTGGTGTATATCCCATCTGTGTGCAGTACGGCATGCTCCCTGTTTCAGTCAACATTTCAAATATGATAGGTACTTCATGTTGTTCATTCTTATTCGCCTGCTCTTGGGCTTCCTCAGACCAATCTGACTTTCATAAAAGATAATCTCGCAACAAGCACGCCTTGTCTAACACTTGCCAATCATTAGGTGTGAACGCAGATTGAGCAGCATCTCTAGTGCCACCATGTGTCCAGCACCACAGGGTCAAGCTTATGCAAGGACCTCAGGACATCAGCCTGGGGTTGTCAGGGTTGAGAGCCTCTATAGCCTGACATAATCTAAATCCCAAAATATCCTTTCCTCTGCCTGCAGGCAGCATGCAAAGCTCTCGGTGGTGAGTTAAAGTGGGCGCTGCTCTCTCCTAGTGTCATTTGATATGCAAACAGGTTTGGGCTGGGAAGCCAGCAGGGTAGCTCCAGGCCAAAAAGCTGCAGCTCCCTTACCCTCCTCCTCTACAGCTGCTTTGGGATCTACACCCTTAGGTCTACCTGACTCCAAAAGACTTTCTTTCATTATCAAGTCCCACCTCTCTATCCTTGTCTTTATTACAGACTCTGACTTCTTAGGTAGGAAGAAGGAATACCCCTCCAAGGTGTTTTTAGTGAAGTTACCATGCCAGCTCCAGGGGGTTATGCCTCATCCTCTCCTTAATTA